AATAATAATAATAATAATAATAATAATAATAATAAAACTATTTGTAAAAGAAGATATAATCTTAAGAATAAATTCATTAGCAAAATAGATACGTAAATTTTGACATAGATATTTGTTTTTAATACCTATGCTATTACGTACTCAACTCGTGCTTCTGACTAGTTTTAACTAAAATGTGAAGCAAATAATAAATTTGTAGTGTGAATACAATTATCCTATATAAAATAAATATATTTACGAAATATAGCTTCAGTATAACATGTTTTCACACTTTACATGCCATATTTTCTAAATTTTTACTTTGCGTATTACATATTACATATGGATAATTATATTTCGACCACGAATTTTATTAGTTACACCACAATCTTAAGTAATTATTTTTATTTACTTAAATAATCTTAAGTTAAATTACATAAATGGGTTTTAAATATTTATTACAAAAACACAAATGCAGATCTCAAAAAATATTTATGTTTAAGGAAAAATGAACCCACCACTAAAAATTAATTGGAAATGTAAAAAGTATGAATAATGAGTCAACGACAAGCTCAGAATAATGCTTTTCCATGGGAGAATATGAAAATTCAATAATAATAATAATAATAAAACTATTTGTAAAAGAAGATATAATCTTAAGAATAAATTCATTAGCAAAATAGATACGTAAATCTTAAGAAAAACTAACACAAAACAAGAAAAAAAGAAACATCATTCACAGAGATGACAGCTATTTCCATGTCTATGTCTGTATGATAGAAAAGTAAAAATGCTTTCTTTCACTGCTAGAAAGGGGGGCTTTAGTAATGGATTTTTGCCAACGAACTCAATTTGTTGCTATTAGTAACGGATTATCAATGATTTTACAACGATTTTTTTTCAAAAATGTATAACTATAAAGTAAATGTCTTGGCAACAAAATTAGCAACTACATATAGCCGTCATTGAAATTTCGTCGTTGATCCGTTGATAAATTTTTAATAAAATAAAAAAATAAAATATAAAATTTTAGCAACAAAAATTGTGACGTGCTAAGCATTGATAGTAAAATACAAAAATTAATAAAAAATAATTGAGTTGAGAATCCGTTGGTAATATTATTCAAATTAATTTGTATTTAAATATATAATATTACCTACTATTTGTTATGTTACTAAATTTATTGGAATTAAAAATAAATCAAATAAAAAACTACACGATTCTCTCTCTCTCTCTCTCTCTCTCTCTCTCTCGTTCCCTGCCCTAAATATTTCAATGTGTAAACTCTCTGCATCATAAATGGCATCATCAACATTAGCTATTAGAGCTCAAACTGATGGACATCATCATTTGAAGATAAGAAATAGTCATCTGAGATACATGGATGAACGAACTTTCAAGGTAATCTGATTGATTAATTTGACCTTTTAGGAGATTAGTTCACTGCAAATGAGTCTAATTTTGAACATATACAACCCATTCCTCTCTTGAATTCTTAAGTCCAAGTTAAGGATTTAATAATTGGGATGCTTGATTGAAAAGTGTTAATTTATTTTTTCTGTACAGTTGTTAAATTTGTAGCATTTAGTCAATAATAATGCAGTTAGTATTGATAATTTCTTTTTACTGGAAAGGTGAATTGAAATAGTTTATTTTTAACTTTAATTGATATTGCTTGCATGTTGTCAAACTGTTTGATTAATTGCTTAAGTGAATATCTTCAAACTGATTTTGATAATATGAAAAGGGGTGTAAATCTTTTTTTGTTTAAACATTGTTTTCATTGAGTAGCATGGAATTATTGCTTTGTTTTCGAAAGGATTTGTATCTTATGATTAGTCTTTTGAACATTTTGAAGGACAACATTCAATTTTAGAGTGGATGATAGCTACTCTATTTAAGGAATACAAATTGTTCCCAAAGTATCATGTAAGGCAGCTCCAAATCACCTCATTTCATTTTGGTAAGCTCTTATTATATATTTTGTAAAATTTGAATTCAGTTAGTTTTACTACTCGGTACTTTGTATTATATTTTTTTTTTTGGGGTTATGAGGTGAGGTCTGGTCTGCATGTATAATTAGTATGCTCGAAGCATTTGGAGATTAGAAGATTATAAGATTATGGTCTGTTATTTGGAATCTCATTGAGCTCTACCACAGAAAAAATGTGAAGATTTGATGCAATGACAGAATTTGAGGTTTCATATGCAGACAAATTTTTAAAATGTCATTTTGAAGAAATTACTAGTCTTACTACTACTCCAGACATATACGATTATACAATTTTTCATCTATTAAATTGTCAATATTTGTATTTACTTAAAAAATACAGAAAGATAAAAAAGAATTGTTGTCATCGGGCAGAAATATATTAAATTTGTTATATAATTTCTTATGTATAGAGTACTGATGTTGCGTTTCTTCAAGAGTATTATGCCTAATTTCATTCGTTTTAGCAGATGAGCTTCTTACTTATAGAGTATTGATTTATACCAAATTGATTCTCTAATCATCAATTGTTCTAAATTCAGTTCCCCAATCATACATTATGGCATCAAACCGTAGTTGGATGATGCATCGGTCAGATGATGGATTTTTTTCGGAGAGATTTATTGAAGGTTGTTGAAGAGTTCATTAAATTTACCATGTCACGAACAAGAGCTGGAGATATGATTAAATGTCCATGTTCTGTATGTAACAATAGAAGGTTTCTAAAAGGAGATGATGTGAAATTTCATATTTATAAAAAAGGATTTACAAGGTTCTATACACAATGGAATGCACATGGAGAACCATTCAATTTTAATGGTCCAGATTTAGCTGAATCCTTAACTACACAAGCTACAACAAACTATACCCATGAAGTAATGGTGATAGATGCGATGGGTCCTGAAATGTAAAATGATTATATAAGTCCAAATGTTTGTGGAAATGAGGAACAAGCCCCAAATCAACATGCAGCAAATTTCTTTGGACTATTACAAAAAGCTGACAAACCCGTTTGGCCTGGTTGTAGTAAGCATACCAACCTTTCTACAATGGCACAACTCATGAATCTGAAGTCTGAATTTAACATGCCTACATCATGCTATGATCGTATGTTGTCTATCGTGAAGGGAATTATGCTGAAGGTGACCGGTTAGAAGATACATTCTATAAAACAAAGAAAATGTTATCTAGTCTTGGTCTTGGTGTTGTGAAGATCTATGCTTGTGTCAATGATTGCATGTTGTACTACAGAGAAATCGAGAGCATGACTCATATTTTGGTTGAAATGTCTAACTATAAGATAATGTAAAGTTAGACTAAAATGTGTATTCTTGCAAGTCGGTATTTCAGTTTTTCATTTTAAAACCCGTAAGAACCTTGCATATCCAGTAAGAACTTTCTAATCCGGTATGCTTTAAACACGAACTCAACATAGGATCAAATGAACGAGGAGGATGTGAAACCCAATACATGGGAGGACGGCACTTTGGTATCGGTCGAAGAACGTTTGAGGATTGATGCTTATCGAAATGATGGAAGGAAAACTAGATGAAAAATAATTTCAAGAATTTTATCTTGATAATCTAATTCTCTCTTCAATTGCTTAGTGGTCAATTATAAGTACAAAGTTTAGAGGGATACCGAATTCCATTCCCGAGTCTCAAATCAACGAACGTTACTTCGAGGCTTGAGAAAGAATAATATCATACAATCAAGAATAGTAGAAAGATGGTCCACGTCGAACATGTGGAAATCAATATATGGGAGAACATTAATGTGGTACTGGTCAAAGAACTTTGGAGAATTTCTTTTATACTTATCGAAATAATACAAAGAAAGTTAGATAGAAAAAAAATTTTAGAATTTTTCCTTGATAATCTTATTTTCTCTTCAATTTCGTCTTAAATTTTAATTTTAAGTATTGGAAATTGGGAATTGGAGAATTGGAGTATTTGTAGAGAAGAAAGACTCATTACATTATGTGCAATGTAGTAATTCTCTTTTTCAATTGTGATAGATGGCTGAGTGGACTAAAGCGTCGAATTGCTAATCCGTTGTACGAGTTATTCATATCGAGGGTTCCAATCATTCTCTTTCCTGTTTTGTTGTTGACTTGATTGATTGATTTATTTATTCAAAATTTTCCAATCGTAATTAAACCAAGAAAAGCGGAAAGATAGTCCACGATGAATAAGTGGAACTCAATACATGGAAGAATTTGCATAGTTATCTCTTTTATTACACTTTTGTTTCTTGTGTATTGAATAGTTTTGAAACTAATTGTCGAAAAAGTTTCAAAAACCAATTCACCCCCTTTTTGGTTAGTTATTCTTGGGCTAACAGATAACGTCATTGATGCATATCTAATTTATGCAAATAAAGCTAGGTGAAAATAATTTCTAGAATTTATAATAAACGTTCCCTCTAGAATTTAGGACAAACGTTTCAAATAGTACGATCATGCCATGTATTCATAACATGATTGACGAGTCGTTCAATCGACAAGATGTAACTAAATAATAACTTTTACTATCAATTTTATTAATTTTATTAATAATATTTATTCCCTGAAGGCTATAGAAATCATTTTTTCCATATTAATCCATTGGTAATTGATTTGTTATCTTGTACCAACTAAATTTAAAAGGTTTAAAATTTCAGATTTAAGTTTTATCAAATTTTTTCATATTAATCCATCTATAGTTTATTATTTCATATTCAAATTTTTATGCATAAAAATATTGAAACCCTTCCGGAAATTTCCCTCTCCCTCGCCAATCACTTCCCTTCCAAAAGCTTATCAATTTCCAATTCGTCCAAAAATTTCCCACTTCCCTTCCGCCCATCACTTCCTAAATCCCTCCAAAATTCATACTTTTCCTTTCCAAATCTTCCAAAAATTTCAATCCTTTCCCGCTCATTTTCCCCCAAATATCTCATTCTTTTCCTCGTATAATACAATCTCACTCATGATTGAAGGCAAATATTTACAGCTTTTTCTCACAATTCTTTCTCAAAACTGAAATTGAAGATGCCTAGTCAAGTAAGATGGAGTTCCATGCCTAGAGTTCCCAGGTTGCAAGATGAGGAGGGCAATGACTTGACTGAGACTGGTTCGGAGAGTATTGATATATCTCTTTCTTCAGAGGACAATGATGGACTTGATGGTAGGAGAAGGGGTCCTAACTACGGTACTAATGGCCGTGCAGATGAATATGGAAGAACTCCTTTAACTGTGGGAGGCAATAGATATCTATGTGAATTTTTTTTTTTATATGTTTTGTATTCAATGCAAAATGGTGTTACTAGAAAATGGAATGCTAATGGTTGTTGTTCACGTTAAAAAAATCAGCAGGTTACATCTTGAAGAATGTAAACCTGTTATTTTCTGTAATTTTCTTACTATCAGCTCTAATCCCCTCCTATCTGCTTTAAGTTCTGTGCATCTATTTTCCTGCTTGCAGATTTATTACTCCAGCGGCATCATATACTGTAAGTGCCAATTTGAAATCTTATTTTAGTGGACCTTATCCTACATATAGTTTGGTGCCAGTTGACATAAAAAAATTGTTGTGGGAAAGATTTTAGGTAATATAAATTTCTTTAAGTAAGTTATTGTCCTTATACCTCTGTTGTTTCATACTAATGTTTGGTACTTACATTAGCAACAATACTCATGGCCAAAAAATAAGGAGAACGAGGTGGAGAAGGCATGGAATACTGCCTCAATTGATCGGTTGCGAAATATTTTTTGTTTGGCTCGAAAGGATGCTAAGGAAAATAGTGGGTCTGAAAATATAGCTGATTGGAAGGGATATGGACCATCGTGGTTAAGTGCAAAGCATTTGAATGAGATAATTGAGAAACAGAGGCACAATGAAGAATGGAAGAAGAAGTCTAAATCTGGCCGTGATAACCGACTCACTATAAAGTCGGGAACCATTACTAAGCACATTGTTGGTTCAATAACAATTGTTGCCCACAAGTTGAGGCTGGTAATGTTTAATTTTTAGAAATCAATTTCATGAATGATTGACATGTTGTGAGTTATCTTGTTCTATCTGTTAGAAGAGCTTTTGTTCTGTCCATTTATATATGTCAGAATGCTCTATACATTTATAACCATTTGCTTGTGGTGATGATTGTGTCTGAATCTACTTTGTCTGACTTGAAGAAACTTACTCACAAAAGAACGTTGAGGGTCAGTGGTGAGACAGATGCCCCAATTAGTTTAAGAACTTTTCTTGCTATTATTTGTTCAGTTGTGTACACTTGCTTTTAGCACTTCCATTGTGTTGCAGGATGTACTTTGTGACGTGGAGCCCTGATGCAACTAGGATATTTTCTGGGACTAGGATATGGCCTGACCAGCATGTGATTTGTGTGCAAACTTCATTGTATCTGACTGCTAAATTCTGATGAATGTTGCAATGTAACATATAGTCCAAGAAAATTTGTATTTGATGGATTAGGTGTTTTATATGTTTTGGCATGTTTGCTCCCAGGTTTATAAGATGCTGGAATGCTAAATTGACTAGTATGCATGAGATGATGTTTCAATTTGGGAAGAGTATGCCAATCAATAATCTTTTTAAACTAATATAACTAAATTAACAAACAGAACAACATGACAAATTAGGTAAGCCACCTACTGCATCACAATTGTTCGAACGTATACATCGACGAAACAAGGGAGAAGGAGACTTTGTAGATAATAAGTCAAGAATTGTCTATGTAAGTAGAAATAAATTAAATTTTATTTATATAATGTATATAGTTATTGATTGAGACTTACATTTGTTTTGCAGGAAATGTATGACAATGCAATTAATGAAAAATATGGTTCAAATGCTTCCTCACATCCTAAAATTGACATTGAAGCTTGGTGTGAAGCAAGTCAAGGTCCTTGTAAGAGTGGTCGCTTGTATGGGCTTGGTCTTCATCGTCCTATTATGCACAAAGTTGGCATCTCCAATCCATATGATGGAGTACAGGCCCATATTAGCATTTTTCAAGAGGAATTTCGTGGTGCTTGCGAAAAGATAGATCAACTTACAAGGGAAAATGATGAATTAATTCGAAAGATGGAAGATGGCAGGCTTGAAGAAGAGAGGAAGCGGATTGAGTTCGAACAAACCATACTTCAGATGTTGGGAGAAAGGAATGGGTTACGAGATTAGTCTTTCAAGTTCAATGGTCGTCAATGGTTGGAAATATTAAATGTTTATTTTGCTTATAAAAAACTTACCATTGAAAGTGTAGATGTTTTTGGATTTGGTGTCATGAGGGATATGATCTAATTTGAACAAGTTAGTATTTTTTTTTGAAATGAAAGCAAAATGAATGTGAATATGTGTATTTTGAATGGTGACATTATGGAATGAAAATGTTTGCAATTCCGTATTCGTTTATTTATTGGCGTATTTTATATTTTTTAATAAGTTTAATTCAGAATAAAAATATAATAAATAAAAAATATTTAGCTCATTTTTTTAAAAATTGTAATCCAAATTTTCTGCGGATTTATTCTTGTTGAAAATTTGTGTAAAAAAATTGAAACAAATGTAGCAACAAAATATATGTTCTTATTTAGAAACAAATAGTTCCGTAGAAAAATTGTTGGCGCATAGCGACGCAAATAAAACCAGAAGATCAGTAGCTATTTAGGAACAAATAAGCCATTTGTAATTTTTGTTGCTAAAATTATTTAGGAAAGGCGTAGGTAATACCAACAAATTAGCAACAAAGAAATTCGTCAGTAATTAGCGACGACGACATTCATTGTTAAAATACCAACAAATTTTTTTGTCGCTAATTTACCAACGATCAAAGAAATCCGTCGATAAATTAGCCACGGGGGTATCACTATCCGATTACCAACGGATTGATTCCGTCGGTAAACATTGTTAACAACGGAAATCAAGCCATTAGAGACGAAATAATCCGTTTCTAAAGACGCATTTTCTTGTAGTGTTTCACACCAAAAACAAAACTCAAATCCCACAAAATCAAAGGCAAAAAAAAAAAAAATGTACAAACAAAGTACAAAAATGAGATTTTAATATATTTATTACATAATCAAGTTTGTGTCTTCCACTTCTGAGAGAGACCATATGATTTCTTAGTCAAGTTCTTCAGCATGAGAAATTAGGTAAGTCACCTACTGCATCACAGTTGTTCGAACATATTCATAGACGAAACAAGGGAGAAGGAGACTTTGTGGATAATAAGTCAAGAATTGTCTATGTAAGTAGAAATAAATTAAATTTTATTTATATAATGTATATAGTTATTGATTGAGACTTACATTTGTTTTGCAGGAAACGTATGACAAATTGACAATGCAATTAATGAAAAATATGGTTCAAATGCTTCCTCACATCCTAAAATTGACATTGAAGCTTAGTGTGAAGCAAGTCAAGGTCCTTGTAAGAGTGGTCGCTTGTATGGGCTTGGTCTTCATCGTCCTATTATGCACGGAAGTTGGCATCTCTAATCCATATGATGGAGTACAGGCCGATTTTAGCATTTTGAAAGAGGAATTTCGTGGTGCTTGCGAAAAGATAGATCATCTTACAAGGGAAAATGATGAATTAATTCGAAAGATGGAAGATGGCAGGCTTGAAGAAGAGAGGAAGCGGATTGAGTTCGAACAAACCATACTTCAGATGTTGGGCGAAAGGAATGGGTTACGAGATTAGTCTTTCAAGTGCAATGATCGTCAATGGTTGGAAATAGTAAATGTTTATTTTGCTTATAAAAAAGTTACCATTGAAAGTGTAGATGTTTTTGGATTTGGTGTCATGAGGGATATGATCTAATTTCAACAAGTTAGTATTGTTTTTTGAAATGAAAGCAAAATGAATGTGAATATGTGTATTTTGAATGGTGACATTATGGAATGAAAATGTTTGCAATTCCGTATTCGTTTATTTATTGGCGTATTTTATCTTTTTTAATAAGTTTAATTCAGAATAAAAATATAATAAATAAAAAATATTTAGTGCATTTTTTTTAAAATTGTAATCCAAATTTTCGACGGATTTATTCTTGTTGAAAATTTGTGTAAAAAAATTGAAACAAATGTAGCAACGAAATATATGTTCTTATTTAGAAACAAATAGTTCCGAAGAAAAATTGTTGGCGCATAGCGACGCAAATAAAAATAGAAGATCAGTAGCTATTTAGGAACAAATAAGCCATTTGTAATTTTTGTTGCTAAAATTATATAGGAAAGGCGTAGGTAATACCGACAAATTAGCAACAAAGAAATTCGTCAGTAATTAGCGACGACGACATTTGTTGCTAAAATAATAACAAATTTTTTGTCGCTAATTTACCAACGATCAAAGAAATCCGTCGGTAAATTAGCCACGGGCGTATCACTATCCAATTACCAACGGATTGATTCCGTCAGTACTCGGTAAACATTGTTAACAACTGAAATCAAGCCATTAGAGATGAAATAATCCGTTTCTAAAGCCGCATTTTCTTGTAGTGTTTCACACCAAAAACAAAACTCAAATCCCACAAAATCAAAGCCAAAAAAAAAAATGTACGAACAAAGTACAAAACTGAGATTTTAATATATTTATTACATAATCAAGTTTGTGTCTTCCACTTCTGAGTGAGACCATATGATTTCTTAGTCAAGTCCCACAAAATCAAAGCCAAAAAAAAAATGTACGAACTTAGTACAAAACTGAGATTTTAATATATTTATTACATAATCAAGGTTGTGTCTTCCACTTCTGAGTGAGTCCATATGATTTCTTAGTCAAGTTCGTGTCTTCCAATTAATCTAAAATGGATGAAAAAATGAAAAAAAATAAGCGGGTAATATTGAGATGATGAGTACACTAAAATATGTATTTTTTAAAAAAAATTTTAACTTTTATTGAATTATGAGTATAATTGTAAATTTTTTGTGGTTAATTATTAAAAATAATTTTAATTGCGGTCTAATTGTAATTCTGGTAAGTAAATTGTGCGGTAGTAATATAATTACCCATTACATATTACAATATGATAACATAAAACAAATTTTACTAAAAATTTACAAATTTACCACTAAAAGAGTTACACACACCAAAATACCAATTTTAAATTTTCATTTGTTCTCCAAAAATTCAATTACTATTTCATTTTTCATCTAATTAATTATTTTTCTTTCTCATCCATATATTAATATTTAGTCATGCCTTTTCATTTCATTTACATAAATTTTCCCCCTTTTTATTTATTACACGAAAAAAATTATTTTTATTAATTAAATTTATATATTATATATTCTTCTCTTTTATCAAGCTTTCTCATGGAAACACAAAAATCACCTGCAATAGATACCAATAAAATTTTGCATGCATTCTTAAAAATTTTTAAATTGCAAAATTACTCCATCCTTATATGAACAAGAAATTGATTTTAGCTCCAAAATAACAAATAATATTAAAAAAAATAGTTTATTTGTTTTTATAGTACTGGAAGAGTCAAATGGAGTATTTTCTATATTTTTCAATATTTTATTAAATAATTCTATAAATTTTCAATCGAACTATTTCTATAAATTTTACGAGAAAAACAAATGATGTTAAATTTTAAGAACAAATAATAAATTTTATAAATATCACAAAAATAATCATCCTTTAAAGAAAAACATTGATGAAAAATCATAAATGAAAATAATTTATAAAACATTACATAAGATGGTATATATGGTGTGATTTTTTTATTTTAATCACGAGGATTTTTGTATGTTCGACTATTTATAATGAAATGTTTGTAAGTCTTTCAACAAATGATGCTTTATGTTACCATTGTGCAACATGTAGCCCTGTTTGGTGATTATTAAAATTAAATTTTTAGTAGATTTTGATAAACGTTGATGAAATGAATTGTTGAAAAGTTGTGGGTCTCTTAAAATATGTGGTTAAAATTAATTATTGATTTTGACTTAGATCAAAATTTGGATTTTAATTTCTAACAAATAGGGGCGTAGTATGTAAAATTCAAATTTATAAAATACATTATGCAAAGTGTAATTACACCCTAAATACATAAAATGTATATTTTGTAAATTTCTCTAAAAAAATTAAGGGTTACACTCAAGAAATAGCTCATGTTTGACCTGATTTTTGTCGGGCTTTACTAAAAATATGATTTTTAACCAAATCAATCACGAGCATAGAATGGACCCAAAGTGACATACTCTTATCATATGCATGCATGGTACATTTTAATAAATCAGATTTTCCACTAACAAACAAATGGGTAAATTTTGAGTGTCTGTTGTGTCACAATCTGGTACATTTGTTTGTGAGAAATTGTCAGCAAGTCCTGATTTTCTGTAAGTATTCAATCATTATATTATCATCATTCTCATGGCCAACAGTTGAGACATAGAGTTGTAGAAATCACATGTCAGGCTGGAACAAGAATCATATCAAGAACTCTCTCAAATCAAGGAAAAAATTTCTAAAACCAGTACAAAAGCAAATGTATCCTAGTAAATAGATAAAGAAAGTCAATAATTTTCTTTTAGCCCAGTAGGGTTATTAACCTTTATCAGGGGTCGAAAGAGTATTAATAGTTATTACAAATTAACTTGAAAATAATCCAACAAACGAAGTTCATAATCAACAAGGGTTTGTTGAACAAATGGAGCGTTCAACTCAAGCAAAGCTTATTTTATCACCCGACTTAGGTTCTTAATTAATAAAGATTAGAAGTATTTTAAAGGAAACTAACACATTAGCCATTGTCATACATATATATGAAAGGAAATGTATCTATGTATGTGTAATTACTTGCAGCACATTGAATTACTTGAAGAGGTTGCTGTAGTCTTTGCTTGCCGCTGAATTTGCATTCCAATCCCATAATCCGTCTGAGAAAGTGGCCTGGATCGAGCCCGGAAGCACATTTAGAGGCTGCGGTTGTGGATGCTTTAAGGTAGAAAAGTGGGATAGAAAGTAAGGAACATCATTAGGATACCGTTGCTGGTCCTGAATAATGTCTGATGCTTGGGGGGAGTAATTCAACAGATGATGATCAGTTGAAAGGGAATAAGAACGAGGTCGTAAAATCGTGATCCTTTCATCATTTTCCATTGAATTAATTTGCATTGGAACTGTAGAGGTTATGGGGACTAATGGATTAGTATTAAAAGTATTGTGGTTTGAAAGAACAAGTGAATTCTCAAAATCAGTGCTGTTACTTGCATTTGTTTCACTCATTTTCTCATCATTTTGATTTGATGATCCTCCATAAGCTTCGGAGCTTTCCATGGTTTGATTCGACCAGTTTTGTTGTTTCTCGAGTGTGGATTGTACTGATTTGGAAGATGATGGTAATCTTGTCGGGAGAGATCGGGCGTGGCCTTCGACTCCAGCTCTTTTGTAAACACGGCAAAGAGAAATTTCTGCTGTCTGAATTTAGGTACAGACTATTAAGCAGAGCAATGATTATGAGAATAGAAATTGAAAACAAGCAAAGCAAACACACAAGTTTATAGAATTCTCGTTCCTTGCAAGATTTTAACGTACCTGATGGGAAAGAATATTACTCGAACAAGTTTGCACTATTCAATTAAAAGTTTTCTCAAGTTAAACCGATGTTTTGAACACTTTTTGATGTTGAATATGCGTATACTATTTGAGATGATCAAGAACCTCATAAAGATTTCTTAAGATCAAAATTCTCACCTTTTGTAGACGTTCGGTTTCATGGTGTGGCAGGCGGTACTCGGTCATTATCCAACTAGTTCGAATTCCTTTCGGGGCTTTACCGGAGTAGAATACGAGGGTTTTCTTTAGTCCAATAGACTTGGAGTTTTCACCTCGAATCGTTCTATCAGCCCCTGTAGCCTTCCAGTAGCCTGAAGTTGTTACACGATTAGGCCGATCTCCATTCCTATACTTTCTATCCCTAGGCACATAAAAATACCATTCCTTCTCGCCAATTCCTGTCAAGGCTAAGGCACAGGAAAAAGAGACAAAAATTATCAAAAATACCAACAAAATTCAATACTTTGATCAATAGATTTATATACTGATGTCAATATATAACCTCTAGTATTGACTCTATCGTATCATGCAAGAAAACGAAGCTAAAATCTTATTATATGTCCATTACCCAAATCGTGAATTCTTCTATTAGGTGAATCATAAGAGGAAACTAGAGAAAGATCAAAAGAAATGACCAGCACATGATATATACCTGGAAGTTCCCAAGGATCATAGCTGTAAAGGTCTAAAAAGGTGATGAGTTCTACATTGAAGTGTTTGCCCTCGACCTTCCGGCGAAGATAGAACTCCACGAGTTCTTCCTCTGTGGGGTGAAAGCGAAAGCCAGGCATGACCATGTCGTGTTGTTCATGTTCATCTTGATTCATGGCTGCTTAAAATGCCTTGAACTAACCGTAACCCTAATTTAATTTAAGCTCATCAGCAAGACAGCAAGTGTTCTTTAGCTTGGCGTGTCAGTCTTTTATTGGTGCAATTTGGTGGGTTGCGGTGGAGGAATAGGGAGGGAAGCCCTACTTGTCAAAGATGAGAAAGGGACATTTTACAAACAGAAGAGAGAAAAGTCTTGATGCGGTGGCTTTGGAGTATATATAATTAATTTCACTCACATTTTATTATTTTAAAATGTATATATAATTAATTCGAGAAGTTGAATTTATATATTGTAGTAGATATTTTATGATTCTAAAAGTACGCAAACGAGCAACGTTTTTTTGCCAAAAAAGTTACTTATAATTTTCTAAGTGTAGCCAAACAAGCTCGATGTTTCTAGTTTTAGGACAAAATGCTGCAGCAAAGCATGCATATAGCCAGCTGGGGGTGGGGGAGGAGCGACTCTGCATAGTCAAGAGAAACCCGTGAGCTCCATTAATTTCTTTTGTTTTTAAGTTCCCCACGTTTCACTTAAACCTCTGTTTGGTGGAAATTAAAATTAAAATTTTAATCTAAATATAAATTAATAATTAATTTTAATCATAAATTTTACGAGATTCACAATTTTTCGACCACACATTTCATTGACTTCTATACAAAATTGGTTTACAAAATACGTGTTGGCAACATTTTGGCCAATAATTTAAAAAACAGTTTTTGAAATCAATGACCTAGATTTTGCCACATCATTTTGTCAACACACTTTTGTAAATCACATTTGTACAAGTAGTATAATTTTTTCGAACTACCGTTGAAATCTTGAAATCTAACCCAAGCCGACAATCAAAACCATTTGGTTGACATCTCCACGTTACATCAAACCCACAGTTTTGAAAAATCGATTTCAATTCGTTTTTCCATTTTGATGATTTTTGTTTAATGTTTAAGTGTCTTTATTTTTTAAAAATAAAAAAAAATATATAAATAAGAAATATAAACTTTACTAAGTCAAATTTTTTTTTTTTTTTAATTCTTAGGGAGCTCCCTGACCAATGACCATATCAACTTAAGAGAGTCCTTGTTAAATGAAAGATGGAGCTCTACACAATTTTTATTTTCCCTTGTCACGTCAACTTAGCAGTCCGTAAATTACATTGAAGGAAAAATATTTTAAACATTCAATTTTTATTTCAAAAATCGACACTCAATCGGCAAAGGCAGCTCCAGAATTTTTCAGAATTATCAACACTTCTGGTGATGGTCGAGCTTACCTGAGTTAGTACTCGAGAGAGACTGCTCGACTGAAAAACTCTCCTCCCACCTTCGGAAAGAGCCTATTTTTCCCTATTTTCCCCGCCATGTAAATAGTGATTGATTCTAGCAAAATGGTGATTTGAATCAAAATATATTTTTGACACTG